ATATATATATATGAAAAAACGTAGGCGTGGTCAGTCGTCACTAAAGTGGTCCAGGGGAAACAGCTCTTCCCCTCCAAAAATATTACAATTAATTTAGGGGTTTCAAAGGCTTATTTTATCGATTTTAGAATCTATTAATATAATTTGTTTTGTCTCCCTTGTGGTTTTTCTCCCATTAAGGGGGGAGGGGGTTGAGGATGTAGCTCCGTACCCCCCACCCCCTTCCTTCCAAGCAGTGCCACCACTTTTGTAGTAAGCATGTCCAATTAAAAAAATGAACATCGAGGAGTAAATTTAAATCCATGCTGTATGCATGCAGAATTTGTGCAAAAAAAAAAGTTTAGAACGTGATTAAAAATTCCATCATTTCGCTATTCTCCTGCGCTAGCTTGTCTCGCTATGTAGCACATGTGTAATGCGTTATGCTTAACTTTAAAAACCTATGATGGTTAGCTATCTATCCAAAGAGTCGCATAATTCAACCAGGTCTTCGCCTATTAATTACTTAATTTAGACGTTAAAAAGTTTGTTTTCGGTACTGTACAAATTTTAATGGTCAAAATGTGGAAGAACACACTATTAATATATCAATACATTAAAAGGGTAGTTAACCCATGAAAAGGTGATAATACTTAGGGCTTTGATTGAGGGCTTTGATTGGCTTTAAAAAAAAACTTTTCCTCAATACAGTTGATGTAATACATGCAATTTAAGCAATTGGAAATTATGATTTAAACTATTTTTGGTAGTTAAAAAAGCTTCTCAAAAACATGTAAACAAACATTAAAGAAAAACATACTGCAATCCATGCAGCTTTTCTGGAACTTATTGTTTAGAGACGCCATGTACAAACAAAGCAACAAGTTTCAGGTTCTAAATTTCTATTATTATTTAAATATGCTTTACACAATAAACTATTTACATATACTGTAACTGATTACTAAAATATACAACACATTGTCAATCATGAATAAAAATGCTGGAATGAATACATATGATATGCTGGAAACCAACATAATGTAAAAAAAAAAAAAAATAAGGCATTCTTGCTGCACAATAAATTGTAAATACACATAATTACAATATTATTGCACTGGGTTGTTTGTAGCATTAAGTACCTGTACTTGCCAGATTAAATTACAATCACTAAAAAACATTTTTTATGTGTATACAGCTAATTAGAAGATTATTAAAATTTCATTAGGATATCATTATTTAACTTTAAAGCCAAATGCCAATATTTGGCCTATGAAATTACAATCACTAAAATATCTTATGTATATACAGCTAATTAGGACATTATTAAAAAATCATTGTGATATTATTATTTAACTTTAAAGCCAAGTGCCTATACAGTATTTTGCTGATTAAATTACAATCACTAAAAACATTTTTTTATGTATATACAGATAATTAGGACATTATTAAAAATTCATTATGAGATTATTATTTAACTTGAAGCCAAGTGTACCTATACTTGGCTGATTAAATTACAATCACTAAAAAACATTTTTTATGCATATACAGCTACAGTAATTAGGAGATGGTTAAAATTTCATTGGGATATCATAATTTAACTTTAAAGTCAAGTGCCTATTGGCTGATGAAATTACAATCACTAAAAACATTTTTTTGTGTATATACAGCTAATTAGTTCATTATTAAAAAATCATTGTGATATTATTTTTTAACTTTAAAGCCAAGTGCCTTTACATTATTTGGCTGATTAAATTACAATCACTAAAAAACATTTTTTGTTATGTATATACAGCTAAAAAGGCATTCTTGCTGCACTATTAAATAATTAAATTGTATACACATAATTAATATTATTGCATTGGGTTGTTTGTAGCATTAAGTACCTGTACTTGACAGATTAAATTACAATCACTAAAAAACATTTTTTATGTGTATACAGCTAATTAGAAGATTATTAAAATTTCATTAGGAACCATTATTTAACTTTAAAGCCAAATGCCAATATTTGGCCTATGAAATTAGGACATTATTAAAAATTCATTATGAGATTATTATTTAACTTGAAGGAAAGTGTACCTGTACTGGTGGAAAGGTAGAAAATAGAATGTAGGACATAAACCACCCAGGACATAAACCACCCAATTGGAATATACCATTGTTAAAGTGGGTGGGCAACAGGGTGAACAATGTTGGGTGGTCTTGCTTTTATCCAGCTTTACAATAGGACTTAATTTGATATTGTACACTCCTATTATACACCTTTAATTCATTCATTTCTTCTGACAACATGCATGTTGGTTAGTAATCATTGTAGATTTTAGTAATCACTGTGCTTAATTAAATAAAAATACTAAATTTAAACAAATTAGAATACTAAATATTAGACAAATACCATTATTGTAGTAAAGTATACTCTATTAAA